TTTTTTTTCTGTTTCCTCTATAAAGTCTGCAATGATTAACTTTATATCACTTACTAAATTCATTAAATTTTTATCCCAGATTTCAACAAGAAATATTTTCAGTGCTGGATTCAATTGTTCTAGAACTTCTGTTATTATCTCTTTAGTCTCGTCATTGTTATTATAAATAAGAATAAAATAATTTGTGTCTGTGTCTCTGAACTTGGTGAACAGTCTGCAATCTCTTTCAGTAAAACTCTCCATAAATATAAAGACAGCGGCAGATATCTGTGTTAAAAAGGTGAATTGCCTCCAATTAGATTCCAGGTCTCCATGTAAATTGGTGACAGCAAAGGGTTCTGGGAAAGTTTCAGAGTTCCCCGTACCGCCAGGAAAAAACCAAGACATCTCCACTAGCCCGTCAGAGACTTTTCGGGGGTAATTCCCACAATCCATATCCTGATTCATAAAAATACTGTAATGTGAATGAGCCGGGCTTAGCAAATAATTCAGGAATTTAGATTTGGATAAGGTACATGTACCCAGCCGCACAAAAGAGAATATCGGCATTGGAATGTTCACTAATCTGCCTTCCATAAAACTCTTGCTGTCTGCACAGGAACGAGGTGTCCATTTCTTCACAATATCTCTCATTGCCCATAGCATGAAGGTGCAATCTGAGCCATCCCCAGCAGGGAGCAGCAGAGGGACAGCAAACTGGCACATGGACATCTTGGTTACAATTTCCTGTTGTAAGAAATGGTCTGAACAATTCAGAAGAACACACAGAACATCCCGGGGGTGGACAGAATCAGACAAGTTTGGTTTTAAATAATTAGTAAATCTCTTATACTGAAAACTTTGATTTATCTTTGTTCCCCCTCCTTGTGTGCATTGTTTAAGCTTAGTGTTTCTTGCCTTCACATTGAGAGCCATTACATTCTGCATAAAATACCAGGGAATGTCCTCTACTGTCCGTAATTCAATGTCATTCATGGATTCCTGTCCGATATTCAGAACATCCTGTAGAGTGAGCTTTGTCTGTCTGTAATCTTCCATGTTTAACTTTGATACAAGTTGAGCAAATTCATGGCTTTCTCCTACAGAATAAAATTACATAGAAAAGTAGATTTATTTAAATTTCTCCCAAAATAGTAATTTCAATTCAACTACTATATATACAGCAATTTAATGTAAATAATATTAAACATTTTTCCTTTCACTTTTGACATCATCCCCTAAAGAGCACAGCTGGATTTACATCAGAAACACCTGTAGGCACCGAATTCTCGAGCCCCCCAATGCCCCCTTACTTCATTGTAGTGTCCTATCAAACATGCTCATATAGGCAGGTGCCTACTCTGATAGGAAATCCACCCATGCACAGGATTAGCCCTTAGTAGCCAGCTCTATCTATATCTATATA